GAGGTTGTAGCTAATAAACATAGCTGGACTGAATTGGCATTGTCTCTTGGAGTTCCTTGGGCTAGGCCTGACAGTCTGCCCAGGTCTGTGGGGACGGAGCAGCATGGTGGGGTCCATAGCACATCACCCCAACTCAGCTTTCGTCTCCTCCTTTGTGTCTAGTCCAAAATGCCATGTAAAAACTTTTCTGCCTGGTGTGGCTGGCAAACTGTCTCCATCACAACGTGTCATCTGTGTACTTGACAACTGGACAACATGAATGGATTCTCCATGCCCTTCCTGTGGCCAAAAGACAGACATTGCAGCATTGGGAAGATAGACGTAGGGCCCCATTCATTCAATGGACTGAAAACCTGATTGCGCTTGCTTCTTATGAGCGGATTGCCTACAGACCAGTGTTTCTCAACCTCAGCAACTTTAAGATGGGCGGACGTCAACTCCCAGAATTCCCCAGTTGGCTGTGGAATTCTGGGAGTTGAAGTCCGCCCATCTTAAAGTTGCTGAGGTTGAGAAACACTGCTATAGACGTAGACTTTGTATGGATAAGTATACTGAAATATGGGACTTGTTTATACAAAATTCATTAGGTTAAAGAAAATCATAGTCATATAAATGTGTTAGAAATATATACATACTTGAATAATATTTCCATTAGATAAGTATATACAGAATTGTAATTGTTTGCTGTTACAGTGACATATTATCATGTTTTTCTCTTTGTTGTATTTCACTTTTTTGTTAAAGCACTTTTTATGTGGTTTTCCCCCCCTTCTTCTTCTCCTCTTTTTGACAATGCATGTGTCTCCATCATTATTATCTTTGGGCTTCCTCTTTTTCTTTTTTGCTATTGAAATTTAGAAATTAAAAAAAGTCATGTGTATTAGAGCAAAACAAGGATGTGCTGGCCCAGCTAACCTCTCAGAGACCTTCTTTCCTCAGGCAAGTCGATCTTCTGAGATTCCCCAGCCTGATGGAAATCTGGAGAACACAAAGTCCAAAGAAAACTTCAGGAATTTCAAGGTCAGCAGCGCACAGGATTTACTTTCAGCTGCACCAGCCTTCCATACAAGATGCCTCTATTTTGTCCTACTGCAACAGTTCCAGAGAAACAGGTCCACCCTTAAACCCCAGAAAAATCCACCGATTCTCCAGGAAAGGCATGAATGCCGGCTAGGAGATTGGGATTAAAAATAAGAATATATTTCAAAAGAGCGAAGACTCTTCATGACCTAGTGGTACTAGTGCCAAAGAAACACGGGTGTAAAGTCTGCGAGAAGTTGTGGGAGGGACCAGCAGTGGTTGGGGCAAAGGCAACTGAGGCCGGAGAGAGATTTGCAACAGGAGACGCCAGTTTGTCGAAACGAGTGAGGATTTCACAGCCCCTCGGAGGCTGAACCGGGTGGCCCTCCACTTCGTCGAAAAGCTTGTGAGGTTTTATGACGCCACAGGACTTCTTCCTTCCATACTGGAGGAAGCTCTTGGGGTCTGTGCAGGGCTGTTTGCACCTCCTTTACTGTCCACGCGCAGGTTGAGAGACCTGGATGGGTGGGCTGATGGAGGAGAAGGGGGAGCAGCAGTCCTGGAAGCTGGGATTTTATTTTATTTTATTTTATTTTTTTATTTGTCAATCATATTTATATAGCACAAAGTGACTCTGGGCGGCGTACAACAATTAAAAAGAAGACCTAGATAAAAACAATTACAAATAGAAAACTGTAAAAGCTCCTTGCCTCAGAATAGTGGCGGAGAGATGGTACTCTCCTGGGGGTATGGGGCTGTGTTGGAGAGAAAAGTGCCCGGCATTTAGGGAGAGACAGGCACAGTATCTGTGGGGCAGATTGTCCAGGGCCCCCTAATTCCCCAAGGCAAAGATGCCCGGGGAAAGGAACACATGCAAACTGGGGCAGAGGCAAAAAGGCCCTACCTCCTACTCTGTTGGGTGAGATTAGGGCATGCTCATGGCAGCATCAGTGGCCCTCAGAGAACGAAGCCCCCTGTGAAGTCGGGCTGGGGTTGCCTTGGGCAGGAACAACTTAGTGTTTTTCAAACTTGGCCACTTGAAGATGGGTGGACTTCAACTCCTAGAA